ATATATAAAATATATACTATATTTACTAATTGACAGCTTTTCTAACCTGCACATGCTGAACTGTACAGAAACTGACACATTCATGTACTGACACAAGCCCTGGATAGTCCTTTTAGACCTCAGCAATGGTGGACTGCGACCCAGTGCTAGCAGCCAAAACGTGATTTATTTGCTATTTTTCTTTTATCTTTCTAAAAGATATTCTAAGAACTTGAATGTCAGCCAATGCAATTTTCCCAGTCTTTGGCGAGATTTAGGGGATGATGTAGCAAAAGCCCTTATATTCTTGGGAGATCCCAGAGATCTGTGACAATATATATTTTCGAGGCCCTTGGGAGCCCTTAGAACGGAACAGTGTTTGTTTTGAAGATAAACAAATCTAATATGGATATGCCTAGTATATCCCATGGGAAAAATAGCTGAAAATTATTACTGGGATCTTGGAGATAAAATTGTGTAGCATTATCAGTTCCTATAAATGGTGAGTAAAGCTTTCCAGTAGAGGATCATCAGGAAACCCTCTCTGTATTTGAAACAGGGATGGTGGCTTGTAACTTTCACAACATCAAAAGTTTGCAAATGATTCCATTCCCCCTAGCACACACAAAAGCACCACCAACCAAGGATTACGTGTGCCTTGGGATTTACTGTCAATGTGTATTAAGTGTGTGGTGGTAGTTTGATGCATTTGTGACTCAAACTGTTTACTCCATTCCCTTTACTGAGGTATGAGGGAAGTAAAGTTTTCTTGTGCAGGTGGGGCTCCAAAAATAAACTGAAGCAGATTGAATTCAGGTATTGTTTTCACTGTTTTGTTGTTTTTATGTAGCAGGTAAGGGAAAACAGACTGCTTGGGGGGTACACTCTACTTCTCTGTAGTTCTCCATCATCAAGAATGAAGGATATCGGATGGGAAATATGAAACAACTAATTGCTTTCAGAGAATCAGGGTGACCTCCCCCATCTTCAGCCAGTGCGCTAATTTTCACAGTGCTTTCCACACAGTATGATTTGAACCTTAGCAGTGCCCTTAAAAATGGTCTAAGGAAACCTGAGATTGTATTACCCCTGAATTGATATCCCCTGGCCACTTTCTACAATGGGAATGAAATCTTGTATTGATTTCTGGGAATGGGTACTATTCTTATTTTGTTGCTGTTTGGGGAGTGCTTGCATTCTGTTGGCTGCAATGTTCCTGTTATAGACTCATTTATCTTTTTTTGATTGTTTAAAACTCCACTTTTTTTCTCTCTAGTGGACTGCCTTAGAGTCTTAAAGATAGGGAAAAAAAAGAAAAGAAAAGAAAAAAGATTTGGATCAAGTCATCTCAGTTTAATTGGCATTGCACTCTCTTTTGGCAAGAAAGTAATCTTGTATTCAATGGGAATAAGGATGAAGGAAACATTAAGGAATGGACAGAGTGAAAGACTAAGAGAGAGAGCTTTTAATCTAGTTTCGAGTTCTGAGAGAGGTTAATAGATTGTATAAGACTCATAAGAAACTGGTGGAAAATCAAACAGCCTCAATTGATGTCGGATTCCTCTTTAAGTTATTTCTCTATTTAGAAGTACCTTTGCTTGAGCCTTATATGAGGAAGTAATATAATAAAATAAAGCAAACACATTAGAAATTACACCTTGACAGGGAGAACAACATAAATGCCTAAGCAATTTATGGAATCATAATTCTGTAGTTTGGCCTTAAGCCTGCTGGAAGAAAAAAAAAAGAAAACTAAAATAAAACAAAAATTTAAAAAAAGGAAAAAATAAGTTTGTTGCCATTTTCTCTCATCCTCTAAGGATGTTTTTATTTCTTTTTCTTTTTAGAATGGGACCTCAAAACTTACTGATATTTCCTGATAAACTCACTCACTATTTTAAGTTTGTAATTGTTAATTTTCCACTTTTTTTCCCCACATTTCAGGTTACAGCAACCCATTCCAACTGCATCATCAAAAAGGAGCAAGAGACTTGTCTGGAGAAGATACGGAGGGCAGCTGCCCTTAACCCTCTCAATGACTCTTCTCCAGGTGAGTTTTAAATTGGATAGATCATGTACATTGCACTGATGGTTTCTAAACCTTTCCTAGCACGTCTGCAGGGGTTTTCAACAATGTCAATGCAAACAACTTACGGTAAGAGATGCAGTCACTGCAGCTGAGTGAGCTTAGAGAAACATTATAATGACAAGAAAATCAATCAATATGGATGTACCAGAAAAATTGCTAGTTAATATGAGAATTTGCTTCTGTAGGTGATAGTGACATATATCTACAAAATTAATAAAAAAACAAATAAACAAACAAACAAAAAACCCAAACAACCCAGTGTGTCTGGAAAGGCCTTGATAGTGTTTATTTCTTCTGCTGGTGCAGGTGGCAAGAGCTATTGGAAACGGGACTTAAGACTAAGTGCATCACTGGTCTGTTCTGTAACAGCTCATTCACCCTCATCAGCTCTGTGCCTCTCTCACATGAACTGAAAACCTTTACAGGGGTTAACATTGTGCTGACCGTAATCTTGATAAAGAATACTTGTGCTATTGCTGAGATAACAAACTGAGGCAGCAAGGGAAGAAGAAATTAATAGTTTAATATCCTGTCTCATTTCCCTTTGACTGCAGCAGGAGCTGCCTATGACCAGCATCAATGAGAAAAGGGCAATGAAAGACAAAGAAACTATTTGGAAATCATGGTCTGTTCTCTGAGTCTTGTCCAAACTGCTTCTACTGTGACTAGAATTGGTAAAACTGCAGAGAAAAACAGATAAAACACATGGTGTGTGTGATAAAAGAAGGAGATTTCTCTCCCCTTTTCTTTCTTACATTTTTTTAGCCCAGAAGCAGGGGGGGGTGGGGCGGGGGTGCGGATTGAGGAAGGATGCAGATCTCTGTGTTACCAGAGCATCCTCTGAGGCAAGTCATTCCTGCATTTTAGCCTCTGAGGGTATTTACATCAGAGACCTGCTATTAATTTCATACATAAAGCACATTTTCATTCTGTTTCCCAGCTTTGATCAAATGAACTGTGTGGTTTGGTGAAACGAAGGAAAGCGTATATTTCAGGCAGTTTATTTCAGCCCCAAGGATGTATTTTTGAGAACCTTTTTGTGCATTAAAGAGCTTCCCAATTCTTCCCTGGTCCAGAAGTAGCATATAGAAGTACAAAAGGGAACAAAATGTTTCTCTCCCCCTGCCCCAGAATGATGCCAGAAGCTGAGCCCTTTTGATCCCAATTTCTTATGATTATGCAATTTCTATTATTTGTATTCAAGAATTCATAAATTTTCCCAGGTCAAAAGAGACCATTTCACCAGGTAGTTTATTCTTTATCACTCAAATCCAGAATAACCCTGGTAGCTGGGGCACTATTCAGACCGAATTCCTCACAGCTGCCGGTTCCAAATTCAATGAGCACAGCTCAGAGACAGAGGAGTTCCAGAGCCATTGGAAACGTTTTTGCGTCTGAATGTGATTAAAATCTATCACCCACTGAGGCAGAAAGGGACTGAATCCTTTCGAGTACTAGTTCAGCAGCAGAACCTAACTGCTGTTTTTTTCTTTTACCCTAGTATTTTTGGATTAAATCACTGTAAAGAACATTTTCCCAGGCTCAGTGTGTATCCTTTAGTTGTTCACCACATCCTGTGCCAATGAGTTCCACAGTTTATGTGGCCTTGGGTAAAGAAGCCACATCCCCTCAAAGACATTTCTTTTCCAGTGAAGAATTCTGGCATATTTCTTGTTTAAAACTCACGTCATTCTGTGTGTCCTGTTTGTTGCCCTTTCTCTATAACATTTTTTAATTATTGTAGAAATGTTTGACATATATTTCACTTGCCCTCTGGGACTACAGCGTTCTGCTCTATCCCCTTTAAGTCCTGACCTTCCAGAGTGACCTTTAATTACATGATACTTATTTCAAGGCAGATCTTGCCAATCTTATTCCCAACAAGGCCATATCTCCATTGTTAAAGGATCAATAGAGGTCTACCACCTTCCTACTGTTTGTTCAACGTCATTGAGATACTGCTTACTCTGTTTGGAATGACACCTTGTTTCTGCCTGCTAACAAGAGATATATCAACATGGGATGCTCCACACCTGATGGATTCACACTCTACAGTATTTGGGAAAATAGCACAGGTATCTCTTTACTCCAAAAGCACTTTTGCTCCCAGTCTATCAATGGAAGGGACCGTTATTTACCACAGCTGAACCTGTCTTTGAGGTTAAATTATCAAGCATTGTTCGGAGAAGCTACATTATGAAACTCCATGAACAGGTAGTAACTGCCCATAAATTAAGCAGTCGTATGTGAAGTTTGTTGATTCCTCTCAATTTTCACCTCCTGCAGACAACCTGTTTTTCACTTGGGAGAAGTGAAAATTGCTCAACATTTGTTTTTTGTTATTTTTCTGTAGCAGTAAGACTCACTAATCATGGCAGGTAGTGGAGAAATATGTTATTATCTTGTTTCCGTCAAAGAAAGAGGAATGTAGGAAATAACTCACTTGCTTGTCAGAAACAGCTAAAAGAAGAAAGAAATCCCTCCTGGCTGGTAAGTAAACTTCTGTTATTGAACAGTAAGGAGAAGCACAAAACAGTCTCTTCCTTCCTTTAACTACTTCTGCATGCAAATTTCCATAGAACAATTCAGTATATAAACTTTTTGAGGATTTATTTCTCCTCAGAGAGACTGAAAGATAGAAGATGGGACTGTGAGTTTTAGGGAGTGTTTAGAGACTCAGGCACATGTTCAAGTTACTGTGGCTTAAAAAAAACCTCCAGTAAATCAGCTGAACTACAGTAACTTCTGTAAGACAGGTAGCTCCACATTCTCCTGTTGCAGGTGGCACAAAGTCAAATGATCACGTATAAAACGAATCTGGGACATGAACAGTCTTTGTGATCTGTATTTCTACAGTATCTAGAACAATAACATTGGAGATCATGAATGTTCCTCCATGGTGCAAAAAATAATAACTGTGATAGTAGGTTCTCTGCTCCTGCTTAGAGACCTTGTCTTATGCACTGGTATTTCTCCTGTCTAAAAATACTGCATGGAAAACAATGCACTTGGAAGTGAAAAGAGGAAAAACATCTTACGCGTTCCTATATTTTGCGATAATTCAGCTCTCCTACCTTCGCTTTGCCCCTTGCTGTGTTCAGCGTCTGTGAACACAGACATAAACTAAATGCTTCCCCCGAGCTCCTCTGAGTGAGGGCCAACACAAGAACAATGTTGATGCTGTAACTGCAACCACAGGTCTTGAAGAGCAAGGCTGGCACTACAGTATGGAAAGTATCCAGCCCTAACTTGTCAGGTCTCTGATGTTTTCCCTTTTCCCTCCCTCTCTACCGCTCATGACCAGATGTTATGCTTATTACTGTTTTACTCTTCACAGCACTGTTTTCTTTCCTTCTGCTGCTGTGTAATGCGTATAATGCTTCAGAGACAATGATTGCCTTGAGATTTTCTGTTTGTTTTTTCCATGAGTTTTATGATGGCTTCTTCCTCTTAAATGCCTTAAATTCTTTAGGAGCCTTTATATGAAAAGAAATAAGGGGCATGTGCTGACCTTCTGTGTCCATCCCCGTTCAGCCACCTCTTACAGCCTGAATCAAAAAAGAGAATCTGAAGAAAATGAAATCTCAGCAGGACCCAGATTCTGACTCCTTTGCTCTGGAGAGGGAATTAAAGTGATAAAGGGAAATAATGAAAGCCAAAGGCAGAAAAGAAAGAAGGAAGGGAATGATTATTTCATAGTCAACTTCTCCAGGCACTGGAGCCAGGCTATTTCTTACATCAGTGTTTCCAACCTCAGTTGTTTGAGTTTTTGCCTCTGTGTTATTGTAGAGCTGCCCCAGTTCCTGTTGCACCATCTTCTAGCCATCATCAGTCCTCAAGGGACTTTCTGCCAGATAAGAATTGATAAAGCTCGCTGCTGATCAATATACACACTTTTTTTCATGTTTATTTTTATCCCATACATGCTCTGCTGACCTGTTCCCAACCCTGAGGCTAGGAAAGGGTGGCACAGGAGTTACTCAGATACATAATGACAGTTTCTTGGGTCATGTACACTTAGCATGGGATTCATCTAATTAAGTGCTGATGCCTGCAAATGCATCTACACTATGAATGAGCAAGTCACCTCGCTCAATTTTGTAGCTCTGGATGTCTAATAAGTAGAGCCCGAGATGTAATTCATGGCATCCTCTAAGTAGATTAGATGAAATATATGGACATATATGGAAGTAAGGGTGACCATCTCAGCTATAAATATTTATACTGTAAATGTCTACATTTTATCAGACAAATCCTACCTTTAGGCTCTGTGATGCTGACTAGGTCATGCTAGATGTCTGGACTACCCAAAAAATTATAGATGGGAGATGTTTTGATATGTAGGTATCTTCTTTATGCCATCCATGTACTTATCTGTAGTGGATCTACTTAGACTTGTGTGGGTTTTTGCACTCAATGCTTCCTTGAGCAGTGACCTCAAAAGCCAGACATGTGTTCAACAGCCTGCACATTCACACTTGTCACTCACATACACTGACAGAGAGAATCTCTCTGCTGTTTTCTGCTTCCTGGTGGGCTTGTGTCTCACCTAGTTCTAACTCCAAGGGTCTTACATATTTTTCTGACTTGGGATCTGATCTTCTGATCTGGCATCTACCTACCAGTTGTACCTGATACTGTCCCTGGGTGTCACAGCCAGGAAATATGCCACTCAGAGAAATCCCATGATGGAAAGACCCCTGCTGATGAAGTGTAGAACATTTATCCAGCTGTAGATAGACTGCATCATAGACTTTTCGCAGCTTGTTACATGTGTTGCTTTCCATTGTTGGAACTTGATATTCCAGATTTGTCCCCTGAATGTGGATTTCTCTCAAATGTGAGGGAGTTCCTTGAATGATCTGCAGGTTTTTTTGCCTCTGATTTAATGTTTATAGTGCCTAAAATGCACTAATATGGAATGATCCAAGGTGTAATAATAGTGAACATAACACAAGAAT